TGGAGGCCGCGTGGGTGCATCCTTGAAAATCCTAGGGGCACCTTGGGCCAAGGGCACTTCTAACAACACACCCGACTATCCCCCTCCGCCAGACAGCACAGCCCGCCAGGGACCAGCGTGTATCGGCTCACCCGCGCCCAGGGCCCAGCTCTCTTGGCCCTCGCCCCCTGGGACGTCATCAGCCTTACGAGCGGACGCCCATGTTGCCCAACGAGGTCCAACAACAAATGCTGTCCAAAACTGCCAGCGGCCGCTGTTGGGCCCGCGGCCGTGTGCCTCAAATTAACAGTCCGCGGCGACACCGACAGCGACTCCTGTTCAAGATGAACCAGACCTGCCGTCGATCTTCGCACCCCTAGCATGGGGGAAACGGGTCCTGAGGGAAACGGGTCCCGGACCCTGGGGCCTTCCCCCAGGACCAGCTCTTCGTCCTGAACTGTCTTCTGAGTCCTGGGGCCAGTCGTAGGTCCCGAGAGCCTGAAAACGGCAAACAAAAACGAAGACCCGTTTCCCTCAAGACCCGCTTCTCCCATGGCGATGCCCTTTCTGTCCGTACCCATGGTGAGACGAAAAGGTACCAATACCGCTACTTCCCGGACCTCTCCCTGGGCGCGGTCTGACCAGGACTTCGAAGCGAATCCAGCGGCCCCCCAGGAGGCCCAAAAGGGCGAAAGCGAGGCGAGGGTAGAGGTATAGGTACTCTGGGCTTCTTAATAAGCGTGGGGGGATACCCCCCCCCCGACGGGGGTCAACCACGCCTCGTCGTCGCCCCGCGACGGGGGTCGGAGCGCCTTCGGCGCGCGGTGGCTGCCCACGACGGGGGTCGACGTGGGGCTGTCGGCGGGGGTGACGCCCCCCCGACACTCCTCAAGAGACTCGGAGCACCTCTTCCTCCTCTGACGGGCCATCTCCATCGTCCCGAGCAGGGGCGGAGGGACCCCGAAGTCTCGAGCCTCGAAGCCTCAAGTCGGGCGTGTCCCCCTACAGGCGGTTCTTGGGCGGATATGTTTAAAAGAAAAACAAACAAACACACACACACACACAGATCAAAAAGTCGCCCCCAGACTATTGTTTTTAAACTGTCTCTGAAGATTCCTCCTGTGGAGGGGCAGGCCCCACTTCCCCGAAGCCTCGACCCCCCAGGAGGCCGCGGCGGGCGGCGGCGGGCGGCGGCGGGCGGCGGGGGGGGCCCGCCTCCCGCTCGTGCGGGGCGTCCCCGATGCTGATGACGTTCTTCCACGACCTGGCGGGCGAAGGGGGCGGCCGCTGGGCCCCCCCTGTGTTGGGTCGGGCGTGTCCTCCCACAGGGGAATGTTGGACGATAATGTAAACATACTTTAAAGATACATATACACACATACATACATACATACATACATACATACATACATACATACATACATACATACATGCATACATACATACATGCATGCATACATACATGCATACACACATACACACATACACACACATACACACATACACACATACAGGCATACATGCATACATACATACATGCATGCATGCATGCATGCATACATACATACACACATAAATACATACCAGAGTGCCTTACAACGAAGCTTTTTGCATTCGTTGTCGAGTGGGGGGTCGTTCTTGGGAGGTGGGGGGTGGGAAGCCGCCACGAAAGGAATCCCTTTTGCATTCCATCGCAAAAAGAATTCCTTTGTATTCCGTTACAAAAGAATTCCTTTTGTATTCCGCCACAAAGGGAATCCTTCTGTATTCCGTCACAAGAAGAATTCTTTTGTATTCCGCCACAAAAGGAATTCTTTTGTATTCCGCCACACAGGGAATCTTTCTGTATTCCGTTGCAAAAGGAATTCCTTTGTATTCGCTACAAAAGGAATTCCTTTGTATTCCGCTACAAAAGAAATCCCTTTGTATTCCGCCACAAAAGGAATTCCTTTATATTCCTCTACAAAGGGAATCTCTTTGTATTCCGCTACAAAAGGAAACCCCTTGTATTCTGCTACAAAGGAAATTCTATTGAATTTGTATCACTGCCTGAAAACCTGTGTTTTCACAGCTTTTCAGCTATTTTCAATGAAAAACATTGTTTTTTCATTGCCTGGCACAGCTATTCAGCTATTTTTAATAGAAAATATTGTTTTTTCATTGCCAGGCTCAGCTATCTTAGCTTTTTTAATGATTTTCCAACTATGGCGTATCGATTTTAATAAAAAGCTGTGAAAACACATGTTTTTCTTTGATTTTCGAATGAAAAATCAAAGGAAACCTTGTGTTTTCACAGCTTTTTTGCTAGTTTCAATGAGAAACGTTGTAAAAAGCTGTAAAAAAACCTGGTTTTCTTTGCTTTTTCATTCGAAAATCAAAGAAAGCCATATGTTTTCACAGCGTTTCAGCTATTTTCAATGAAAAACATTGTTTTTTTCATTGCCTGACACAGCTATTCAGCTATTTTTAATAGAAAATATTGTTTTTTCATTGCCAGGCTCAGCTATCTTAGCTTTTTTAATGATTTTCCAACTATGGCGTATGTATTTCAATAAAAAGCTGTGAAAACACATGGTTTTCTTTGATTTTCCATTGGAAAATCAATGAAAACCCTGTGTTTTCACAGCTTTTTATTAAAACCAATACGCCATAGTTGGAAAATCATTAAAAAAGCTAAGATAGCTGAGCCTGGCCATGAAAAAACAATATTTTTTATTAAAAATAGCTGAAGAGCTGTGCCAGGCAATGAAAAAACAATGTTTTTCATTGAAAATAGCTAAAAAGCTGCGAAAACACAAGGTTTCCAGGCAGTGATACAAATCAAATAGGATTTCCTTTGTAGCAGAATACAAAGGAATTCCTTTTGTGGCGGAATACAAAGGAATTCCTTTTGCGGCGGAATACAAAGGAATTCCTTTTGTGGCGGAATACAAAGGAATTCCTTTTGTAGCGGAATACAAAGGAATTCCTTTTGTAGCGGAATACAAAGGAATTCCTTTTGTAGCGGAATACAAAAGAATTCCTTTTGTAGCGGAATACAAAGAGATTCCTTTCTCTCTCTCTCTCTCTTCTCGCTCTCTCTCTCTCTCTCGCTACTACTGCTACTACTACTACTACTACTACTACTACTACTACTACTACTACACTACACTAGTACTACTACTACTACTACTACTACTACTACTACTACTACTACTACTACTACTACTACATTACTACTACTACTACTACTACTACTACTACTACTACCATTACTACTACTACTACTACAACTTTTACTGGTTCTAAGAGCACCACAGATCCTGTGAGCACCACAGAGCCCACGAGCACTGGTGCACTATATATTAACCCCGCAATACCTGCATCCACCACAGGTCCTATGAGCACCGCAGAGACGGCGGAGGAGAGCGCAAAGCGCGGAAATCTCACTGATCAAGGGAAATCTCGTGCTATTTTCCTCGCGTCTGGTCTGCAGAGAAGCTGGTAGCTAGCAGCTACCCTAGGAATGCTGGCGAGCAGTCAGCTTAGGGTGAGGACGAGGAGGAGAGGGAGGAGAGACGACACTTGATGGCGAGCAGCCATCTTGAGACTCATAGCCGGTCCCCGTCTGGAGTGAGGAGAACAACCAAAGTGCTTTGAGGTACTTCAGAGACAGCCGTAATATTGTCCAGCATTGAACTTACCACGCATTGCACCTCATCAAGAAGAATTCCATTCGCCGCCCATTCACCCTTCCACCTCTGAGCGTACCACAGCTCTTCAACAAGACTTGAATCTGTGAGCGCTGCACGTTTCATATAGCAACGTCTGCTCTTGTAAGTTGGAATATCTATGCGGCCGAAAAGACCCTTCGAACCCAGAATAGTACAAGATTTGAACTCATTCCTGAATAGCTTAGAAGGCGTCCCACCAATCTGAGCAGTTGACCGGCCATCAACAGTGAAAGCCCGCATAACCGAATTTATGTTATCCACGCGGCCAATATGGGCATCTGCATATTTGTATGTAGGCCACTTATGCATAGATGTCTCACTAACGATGCAATGCAAGTTGATATCTTTTGCAGTATTGGCGTTCAACTTGTTCTTCGCTGCGGCGGCCAGCAATCCACCATCCAATGCGTGTATCAAATAAGAAATAGCATTTGACGTATGCAAAACCATATTGTCAATTGGAAGCCGAACAGATAATTGTTTCCATCCCTTCTCCTTGCTTGTGCGCACTACAGTATCATTGAAATTGCCATCCAATGCGTCGTCTCCAGCAATTATCCATATATCTTTAATGTCATAAGTGTCCGAAGCGAAACCCTTTGTCGGCTGAGGAGGTGGAATTATCGATTTTGGGTAAACCCTGGCACTAATGTCATAAGTGTCCGAAGCGAAACCCTTTGTCGGCTGAGGAGGTGGAATTATCGATTTTGGGTAAACCCTGACACTGAGATCATCGTCTTCCTCGTCCACCCACGGCCTCTTCTTGCTAGTTAACGGTAAAGATTTAGGCTTCGCTGTCCTCGTGGCTTCTGCATCGGTTGATATGTCCAAGGGCTTGCCATTGGAGCTGGTCTTGAGGTCGCCGAAACATTGTCCCTCGCACTCGTCCTCTGTAGAAGAAGATGATGACGAGCTGTCCTTAATAGTTGCTCTCTGTCCGCCAACTTCATGCGTTGTCTGATAACCACTATAAAAATTCCCAGCGTATTGACACCCATAATAATTGCCAGCATATGGATAATGCATAGGAACGTACACAACTGGTTGAGGATGCGCTGAAGAAGAACCACCGTTTGAATATTGATTATTTGTCTTGGCAAAGGGTCCAGATTCGAGAGCGAGTGCAGCCTCTGGGAACAAACTTTTCCAAATCCCAATTACTCCACCTCCTTTCTTTTTGGCTTCGTGCATTTTTTTCGAAACCTTTAAATTGTGCGTTGCCTTCAAGTCTTTCCATAACTTGTCGCCGAAATCACCCCAGCTTCGGCACCTGGAAATGACTTCGGGCTGGGGGCCCGCACTGCGGATTATACGCTGCAGTTCGTCCATTCGCCGGAATACGGATGCGTCGAACAACGAAAACCTTGAGCCGCAGGTTCTACGGATCAGTTGGAGTCGCAACCGGAATACAAGAGCAGAGGCTGATCCACGACCCAGGCACGGCGCAGGAAGGAGAGCAGGCGATATATTGATAATGATGATAACCCTGATATTGATAAATATGACATTGGAAATGGTGATAATCTGTGTAGCGATGATAATGTGTATGAATGATGGTATTGATTAGAATGAATGATTTTTTTGCGGCGCAACTTGAACAGCGAAACTGTTGTAGGCTGCGCCCCTGTCATTATGAAGACGATCAGTCTTCTTTCGCGCGCGACGCCTGAAGTGAAAGCGAACAGCTTCCTTGTGAGAACAAGCAGTCCTCTTAAAGAAAGGGCCTAATTGTTGATGTGTTTCAACTCGTTTCCAGTGAACGAGAGAGGCTTCATCGCTTGCGTTTCGGCGTGCGCTTCTGCTTCGGCGTACGCTTCTGCTTCGGCGTGCGCTTCTTCACTTTTCTGAGTGACATGCATGTGCCTGGGTAGTCCTTCCTGGAATTCCCCGCTGTGAACTTGTTGCGCCATAAACAGTAATGGTACAAGAAGCATCGGTAGCGAGCGCGCTTCATCTTTGACAGCCAAGCCAATTTGTCCAAACGCGACCACAACTGTTCCGCCGCCTGAGAGTTCAATGTCTTTTTATGAACAATGGCTGGTGTTTTGCACTTGTGCTTCTTGCTGTGATACCCATCCAGATAACATTTATCGCATAGCGATCCTTCGAAATGCTTAGCGACTACGCAACCACAATCGCACGCGTACTTGCCAACAATCATCTTGGTTTTCTTCATATCAACTAAACATTCTTTTTTGTATGCTGTGTTCTCACCGTTCAACATCTCACCCAAATGAAGAATTTCGTTGCCACCTCCCTTGCGGTTCTTCATGTTCACGGTTGCGTAGAGCCCGCCAGTTTGAGTGCGCGCAATCTTGATGTTTTCAATCTGCGTCACTGCTCTGCACCTCGACTTTGATTTCGCCTTTGCTTTAGCAGTGGCATGCATCTTCTTGATGGCTCTTTCCAATCTCTTGGAGTTGGGGCGTCCAGGAAGATTTTTCTTTGCATACTTCTTCTCTGTCTCCGCCAGTTTCCGATTGCATTGGAAATTGCCGTCGGTGACAACGTCAAGTTTACCGCGCGGTTGCTCGTATAACGGATCGTCCCG